GGAGGACGACTCCACACGAGGCGGAAGGTTGGCGGGGGGGTCGATGTGCTCGATGGGGTCCGGCTGGCGATGGCGTTTGGGCATCCGAGGAGTAACGCCCTATGGGACACTTGTCGGGGTTCGTGCTCGGATCGCTCGGATGCTTGTGGCGACACAACCGCGGCTTAGCGTGCGAGATCCAACTACACTATCCTCAAATCTAATGAATGAGGAAAATAGAGACAAGTGGCAATAGGCTTTTAGGTAAAAAGTTTATTCAACTCAAGAAAATAAAATTGAGGGTATTATATATTTTTAAAAATAACGAAGGGAAAGAGGCATTTCGTAAGCTTTTTTGGCGCTTCGATCTTACCTTACACCGGTAAACACTAATAAATGGTGTTTGTTCTATATGCATGTGGGTTTAAATCTCCCTGTAACAATATTTATCGTACTTTATTTATTGTACTCTTCCATTATAATGGAAAGTGTGGATGGGTAGTCATCAGTCCTGTCTAAAGTATATTCTTATGATTATTCTAAATCGGTATTTTCTTCTCCGCTCAACCCCACTACACTTTTTTGCACAATATTGTTCATCAACAGTGAAGCAAGCATACATAAAATCAATGATAACGTTAAAAGAAAAGAAAACTGCTTATCACGCACCTCTGGTTACATAAACCAAGAATAAACAAATAAAAAATATCGACTCTTTTATTTCCCATTCAACCACAACAACATATTCAACAAACATGCAAAACCCAAGATTCCCTTTCCACCTGCAGGCTTCTTGATATGGCAACCTCAAGCCTTCCTATTATCTTCCCACTGCCTTTCAGTTGTTGTTTTCGATTTTATTTACCAATCATCATCCATTCGCTTGCGGACAATCGTGATATTCGACTTCCCGCTCGTATCGCTGCCGGCGACTTGGCTGAGTAATTCCCTCACGACAGTATCGCTCACCGGCGGCTGGAGCTTCCCCTGCTGAACGGCTTTGATAATATGCAGCTCCACCGCTTCCGCCCGATCCGCCTTCACCTGCGCGACCCGTTTTAATCGCTCCCGTCCGTCGGGAGAAAGAAAACTCCGCAGTAGATTCTCCTTTTGCTCCTCAAAGGCCTCGCGTTTTTCCTGCTGAGCCTGCTGTTTGGCAAGCATCTGCTGTGCTTGCTCATCGCTAATCGGTACACGCGACATTTAATAATATCCCTTTTTGAACTAAAAATAAGGAAATGGATTTTATAATAAACGATACTGGTAAAAACTGTGAGGAAGTAAAATGAAGAAAAGATTTTTATAAAGGGAAATAAAAAATGGTAAGTCAAGACGTTTCTAATCTACACAACAACAACAAAATGAATATTAAAAAAAGGATAGGAAAGGGGGTATGGAAACCATAAATTTCTAATTAAATCGTGGCGTGTGGAATAAACAAAGATATAACATGATGAGTAATCTATTTAGATTAAGAACCACAGTGCGCTGAATCCATCAACGCGCTATAAAACAAACGAGAATAAAATGGATGTCCTAAGTTTTAATATGTAATGAAGGAATAAATAAAATAGACCGCATACCCATGTGCATTAATGACTAGAATCGATTCATTAAAGGATAATTTGTCATCATTGAATTCTTCAACGAAGACAATCTGGTGTACTTAAATAGATTCGATACACAATTCCAAAGCTCCCGAATGTAACAATTAAAAACACCAGAGAACACAAGATGGCAACAGATCAAAATCATTGTCCAACTCTCCGAAGGATTTTTTAGGGTGGTTTGAAGGCTTTGATGTACTTATCCTCTCAAAGTATTTGAATAGATGCTAAAGATAAATTCTGAAACGGCTACCACTCCTTCCCTATGCGCTTTTCGCAATTGTGTAATAAACTTCAAAAAGGTATTGCACCTACATGAGCGATAAAAAGCGCTAGAATACGAAGTTTACCGAACTACTAAAGACTAAAAATGCTGCAAAGATCTGAATAGTCTTCCTCATCAGCATGAATGTTTGAGAGCGAACTTCGTGATAAATTTTTCGAACAGTAAAAAGGAGAAGCTACTTTAAGAAGGCCTTGACAACTCTTCATAGTAGTGTCGGTTATTCAAACCCATCAAATACCTAATATATATCATTTGTAACAATATAAATCAATCAAAACGCGGTATGTTGCCTTTGGAGTGTAAAAAAAGGGGGGAAATGAAGAAAAATAGATGCAACAAAGTAAAGACTATCAACTACATAAAAAGCTCAACCCTCATAAGGATTTAGTAATAAACGGATACTCTTTCTCTTACCCTCTCATGCCATTATGTATAGCTCTTTGATCTTCTTAATCACCATGTAAGTATGGAGCACAGAAAACTTATAAACTGTTATATCTATATATATAATTGAAAAATATTATGAGAAAATTTTTGCTAACTAATATATATATATCAATCCATTGATCTAAAGGTATAGATATAGATATCATTCATACTCTTATAGGAAAGAAAAGAAAACAAATAAACAAAAAACAGAAACAAAATTAAAAAAAATAGAAAGCCTCCATTAGTCAAACGAAGGAACAAGTGCACCTGGAGGTTTATAGGTGTAGTACTTATACAGAGGGTAAGAGAGTCCAAGTAAGAGAATGCTGAGGGTAATGGCAACGATAGAGAAAAAGGGGGTGAGGGTCGGACCAGAGCGCCAAGGCACCATCACGTTCATCGTCCACACCCCAGGGATGAGGGAGGTGGGAAAGAGCACCAACGCCATCTGCGTCTGCACATTATTGATATAATCCATGACATTGCACCGGGAGACCAACCGTGCCGCGACACCGGCCACTAAATTCACGCGCGCGGTGTCAACAGCCCCCCGTGCGCCCGCGAGCCGCGCGAGGCCGCCCCGCAGCCCGGTCAACGCGGCATGGTAGCGCGCGGTCTCGCCCGAAGACGACGAAAACGCCGGAGAGGACGGGGGCAGCAGCATCAGCAGGCGCAGAATCCGTGCCTTTCCGAGGAGGGCAAAGTGGAGCTGCGCGACGTGGCTGCGGACCGCGCGGAGGCGAACCATAAGATCGCCGTGGTCCGCCCGTGAGGGCATAATCTGCAGGACGAGCTCGCTCAGGTTGTCGGCGGCGAGGAGGAGGGGCGGGGCGAGGCCCTGCACCCCCCTGACCGCCCCCACCACGGCCGCGCTGAAGAGGCCTTCCAGGCCGTCCCTGTAACAGCCGTGCGGGCCCTCCTTCGCAAGGGCCGTGAGGGAGAGGCCGTCCAGGTCGTCCCTGTAACAGGCTTGCCCCC